TGTTGTTGTTGAGAAGTTGAAGAAAAGTTTCTTCTGGGCTGTCTACTCCAACCGGCGAGCCGCTCGCGCTAAGCAACGGTGGCGGAGTAACGGTTGGTTTATGTGCTTGCTGGCCACCAAAGTTACCAAGCACAGAAGTTTTTGTGTTTGAAGTGGTTAAACCAAAAAGGTAGCCGAGGGTTCAATCGCTCTGAGCTGGCAGCTTTAAAGTACATACAAGACAACAATAAAAAAAAAACCATATGCCACGGAGTATTTGTAGAGAGCCGTGAAGTCCCGCTCCCTCCCTCCGCGCGAGGAGAACGCTGATTGGTTCCTGGCAGTTTGCCCCCCCCCCCAGTGGGGTGTGAGTGCGCGTAAGTGTTGCCGTATACGCGCATGCGCCTGCGCCCGCGGTGCGCACTTCAAGGACACCCAGTTGAATCTTTCTTGAGTGCGATTAAAAGTTTACAGCTCTGTTGCAACTTTTAGGCATAGAGGCGTAATTGTGGTGTTCTTATCTGTATTTTGTTTACGCTATCATGGTGATCATACTGTCAACAGTTGTTTACTGTGGTTTCACAGTTTAAGTTAATGTCTGGTAATTGTAGGCGTTTGTTTTATAAACACAGCACAGTATCCATACTAACGTTACATCAATAAATGCAATAAGCAACAAGTCGGTTGCTATACACAAGACTTCCGGCTTCAAAAGCTCCTCACCACCTAACCACATAGACTTGATGTTGTCTTCAACACACAGATCAAGTGTTCATTATTTCCTGAGCCGTTTTCTTGATTTTATGAATGACTTTTTTTAAATTGAATTGAACATATTAATGCTTTGGCAACATTGTCCTTGTCAAAACACAATGAACTGAAACTGAATTGAATCTGAGGAAGAAGTTGACAGTGGATAGACAGACGAAGAGGTGTGACAGGTGCTTTCTGCCGACCTCCAACAATGGCTCATGTAAAATAAGCAATGGTGCAGGAAGTTCTCTGACATTTTACTAAGTAGCAATGCACTGTAGACATGTAGAAATAGAAAAAGTAAAAGCACACAAGCATTAACATCAAAATATACTTACCAGAAAGTACCAAAAGTAAAAGTACTCATCTACAATGACCGAATAAACATAAATGCTTTAATGTGCAATTTTCATACTGCAGCTGGAAGAGCTGGAGCTCATTTGACTACATTGCATACAGCTGTCTAACCAACCCTGTAATAAAACATCATGATTTATTAGCTGATGTATTTGTTAATATTATAACCTCTGAAACTTACCTCTGAAATGATGACGGATATCAAACCATGTATGAATCAGTTTGTATGTTATTATTTGTTACTATTTACCCCCATAGTAAATATCTTAATTGCACTTTCACCTAGTTTCAATAAATTAATGTAATCAGTAGTGGAATGTAACTAAGTACATTTAGGCTACACTGTACTTGAGTACAATTTTGAAGTTGGCTACTTTACTTACTTGCTGTACTTATATACAGATATACAGACCATTTGACATTGTATGTTAATATTACCTCTTACCACCTGCATATAAGTTCATAACAGTTTATTTTTGTTCATCTTTGTCGTCATGGTTTTTGGCTATATGTGTATTTCTCTCTCCATGTATATTGTTCTTGGAAAAGTGTGTAAATTAGGGCGACCAGATCCCAACAAACCAAATGTGTAGAGTATGCAAAGTATGTTTGTGTAGGACAAAGTGGGACATGTCACCAATACTGTGAGGTAGTCTAAAATAAAAATAAAAAGTCAATCTAACTTTAATAATAAACAAACAGAAATGTATATTCTGCCCCTTAGCTCGTAACATCTGTTAGCCCTCTGGTTGATTCAGGTTACAGGTCAGGCTTTAAGCATGTGATGTATTGTGTTTGAATGCAAATACAGTAAGAATAAAAGGAAGCTAAAGTTTCACTGTTCTTATGATCACTTTCCACTGGCATCAGTCAGTTAAAAGTAATTTCTCAGTCTCGTGCTGTAGCTGCATTTCCTTGTTTTCTGTGGTAGCCCCCATCATCCCCATTCTGCCTCATAACTTGTGACTTTGTGATGACGCAATTTTCCCGATATATATATAAATCACCTACCACTAACTCATTGTCAGCTGACACATCACAGACATTTAACAACTTAATGGCATGATAGATAATATGTATCTATTATCTGCTATATATGCAGAATGATTCCAGTGCTTGTGTGACACTTACATGACTGGTCTCCTCTTCTTCCTCTTCTTTTCTTTCTTTTTATATCCAGAGTTCACAGAAGTCATTTAGGAACTGCTGTCCCTAAATATAACAGACTTCCTCTATTGACACAGACATTTAGTGTGGCTTGCTTATGAGGTCACTGGACAAAACTGACAACCATAAGCAGGAGAGTGTATAAAGGTGAGAGGACACACCTCGGAGGTGACCCGGTGAAAGAGCACAACATGTGAGACATGATGCATTCAACACTGACACAATGCCCCTCGTCTTTTACACTGGAATCACTTGGGGAAAGGGATATCTTTAAGGCCTGTATGGACAAGAGCGATGATTACAGTGACCAAATCTGTTTCAACGTACACACGGGCATGTGAGTATTGTATTAAGACTGACTTGACAAAAATGTGAACGTATCCTAACCCATTATTATCAGAATCTGTACTTGTAGAAAACATAGTTACAACCTTCTGGCTTTCTTGGCATGTAGTGCACAAACTGAAAAAAAATAGAGACCACTGTTGCAGTGAAAGTGAACCCTACACAGAGGCAATGTTTGATGTGGCCTCTATTGATCTGATAGAAACATTTGCAGACGAACTCTCTCGCTGCCCTGTCCCACATTTTTACTGCAACACACCTGAGGGCCTGCCAATTGTATTTTTTTTCCTGAGCAGTTTGAACTAAGGACACCTTGAAGAGTGCTCATTTATTTTGTGCAGACTGTTGAAGGTCACATGCCTGTGTTACTATCAATCTACCACTTTCCTGTGTAAGCCCAGAGAATGTTTTGTTTTGTAGCCACAGTAGCTTTGAGAATGCATATAATGCAGCTGGTGCAATGCAAACAAAAACTAAAAATACGGTATCTTCAAAGAAAAACCCTACTGAAGAACAAAATCAAGAGCCCTTTTCATCTGCTGTCCTAATTCCATAAATAGGTTATAGGAAATATATCCATTGTTTCATGCTGTCCCCCTGTAGTTTGCATTGAATGGGCTATGGTAGCCCCAAAGCACTATAAACATGCGTATGTTAAACATAACAGGAAAATGCAATCAGTAGTGCACTCAGTTTCAGTAGGATGTTGCTCCTTTGAATTGCCATTGTGTGAGGAAACAGTGACAGATGTAATAGGATATACACCAATCAACCATAAAATTATGACCACCTGTGCATGTGGGTGGTCATGTTATGCAGCTCCATACGCAACAAACTGCGATGCACTGTGTGTTCTGACACCTTTATTCCAAAACCAGCATTAACTTTCCAGCAGTTTGAGCTCTTGTCTGTTGGATCGGACCACACGGGCCAGCCTTCCCTCCCCACGTCCATCAGTGAACCATGGCCACCCATGACCCTGTCTCCAGTTCACTGCTTTTCCTTCCTTGGAGCACTTTTGATAGGGACTGTCCACTGCAGACAGGGAACATCCCACAAGAGCTGCAGTTTTGGAGGTGCTCTGACCCAGTCGTTTAGCCATCACAGTTTGGCCCTTATCAAAACTCAAAGCCTCACGCTGCCCATTTAATCTGCTTCTAACACATCAACTTTGACAGCAAAATGTTCACTTGCTGCCTTATCTATCCCACCCACTGAGAGGAGCCATGGTATCCAGATAACAGTTATTAAGTGCGTCAGTGGTCATAATGTTATGACTGATCGGTGAATTCATATAGAGCTTAAGCACAGAAATCTTTTATTATGAAAGTTTTTGGACAGTAGTTATTTAAATAGGCCTTTGTTCGATTTAATGTGTCTGATTAGAGTGAGACAATATGTTCACTGACGATACAGGGTAAAAGGGAATTGCTAAAGAACACTTTCTTTAAAATTTGCTTCACAATAACTATCAAGTACAACAGAATGTGTGAAAATGTATGCAATGCAGCACTACATCTCTGGGTTCGAAGAGCCTATCAAGCCAAATTGGACAATCTGCAAAAGATTACAGAGTATTGATTAGGCATAGTGTGCCATCTGTTTGTCAGATGTTTGGGCTGAGGCATAGATGTGGAAATGTAAAGCCATTATTCAAACAAAAAGGTTTTGACTTCATGTCACACAGTCCACTTAGTTGTTAACCTATTCAAATTTGGTTCAACGGTGGACAATTTCACTGTTAAGTAATGTTTACATCCACCATTTATCCCAAAATGGGTTTCAGAATATTCCTAAGGTTGAAGGCATCTTCTAATACTTCTGAACTCCTCTGCCCCCGTTTAGCCTCTGGGGTCACTCAGGTTGTCTGACAACATGGTTTCAGTAGCAAAACAAAAGGAAGATCGTGGCCCTAGAAGTGTGGAAATTGACCCCTCCACGGTAGCTTTTGGCCTCTACTGACCTTTGAAAAATGTTTTTCAGGGAAGTGTCTGCTTATGGATGCATTTTCCTTACTTTTAGTAAAGAAGGTTGTACTTGCATTGGTAACGTCACTTCTTTCTATGCTTGAAGTAATATTCTGAAGGCAGAAAGAAACTGGGAATTAGTGGCACGCCACTAGAAAGGGAAAATAGTCAGTGCAAAGTTGTCAAAATGAATGATGGCTATCTCACACAGTAGCCAAAAGACACATGCCCACACAAGTGTTTTTAAAAGTTCTTGACATGACATTTTCCCACGATATACTGTGCGTGCACTACCCCCCCTCCCAACCGAGTGGGTCTGTTTTTTACATTAACGTTCTTGAAAAACAAGTTCCTGATGGCATCATCCGACTTAAGGGAGTACCACCACAGGAGAGCGGAAGGACAGACTGAACTTTTTAATGATCACTCTAATTAACCCAAAAACTGAAGAACGTCACTTCAGTGCTACATAAGGCAGTGCCCACACATTTCTGCTCACGTTGTTTTTTGTTTACTCTCTGACTTAATATCGGTTATTTTTTTATCTCACTCCAGGTTGAGATTTGTACACACTGAATTTTTGCCTGGTTATCACAGCGGTTGAACCCGTTAATTTAAACACACGGGACAATTAAGCTTCAGGGCGCACTGCCAAGGTAAGAGCAGTTCACTCATGGGAGAGGGTTTAAGGGAGAAGATGTTTATAAGACAGGCTTTGCTTATGTACACATTTAGTGCTGCTAGTTACAATACCCTTGCATACAGATAACATGTTCCCAGAAAATGCTGCGTATAATTTAGGAGTAGCCTACAATCTGCAGCATGTCTCCATTCATTACAGCTGTGTTGCTGATAATGAGCATGCAACTAATTCTTGCATGCTTTTTATTTTTTTATTTTTAGCTCACCCCTTTCCTTTAGTGATACATATTTATGAAACAGACACACAAGATTTGTATAAAATACATTTTCAAAAAGGAGGAAACTTTACCTCTTTTCCTTCTATTTGAAAATTTGTTTATTTTTTATTTTTAAAAAAAGCCCTCATATATTATTCTGACTTCTTTCTTTGTTCTTCTTCAGTTGAATGCAGAGTTAAATAAATAGTCTGTACTTTGGTTCAAACCATCTTTTTTTCCCACCTGAGGACATAGAAGTAATTGCAGATAAAAGTCAAGCCCTTCCCTGTCCTGTCTGTCTTTTGTCAGCCTGGTATTCAGATACCTGGAGGGAATTACCACCACCAGGTGTTCCCAGTCCCATGCCTCAACAAAGCCCTGGCTGTTAATCTGTCCCCTTCCCTGCAGGCACTTGTTTGGTTATGTTAGTCACCTATACCTCTACTTTGTATTGTCATTTATGTTGGCTAAAATCAACACTGTTTGTCATAATACATAAGTTATTGTTGTGGATCACATTAGCAGGTGAAGCAATTTTGCAAACTGGCCAAACAACACATCCACTCAGATAACATTAAAGTGAAAGCAAGCTTAGGTTAGATAGCCAGCTGCAGCACAGACACGTATCTGCAAACGGCAAGCCGGACAATTTACCAGCCAGACCAAACGACGAATCTGGATGAATTAGCTTAGTTTTTTCAATTAATCCAGAGGAAACATAATTTTTTGTGTGCCAGATTTCAGTTATTCTTTGATGACGCCTTGTACCTGTTACCATTATCCGTCGGGCGGGTTCAATGTATGATGATGATAAATGTATAAAACCTATAGTCCAGTAGTCCATGTTTGTCCTGTTGACGAGAATACTGTAAACCAGGAGTGTCAAACCCAAATTGGCTTGGCGCCACTGTTGGTATTGTCATCTCATAGGAGGGCCACTTCAACATTCAAGCACAACAAGAAAGCGCAGTAATGAAAAATGCAAACAGCAGTTTCTATGCATTTTTATGTCATCATTTTCATTTTGAAATGAAGGCCCGAAAAGACAGAAGAAAGGATTGTGTTTTTATTTTAACTGTACATGAAGAGGTACTTTATACTGATATGAATCAACTAGACAAAATACATTTAAAAAAATCATGTGGGCTGGCTGGAGGGAGGCGGTTGGAGGGCCGCAAATGCCCCCTGGGCTGGCAGTTTGAGATCCCTGCTGTAAACTGTCTGAAAAACCACTGCATGGCTCTAATTTGTTTGTGTCCCAAAACATGAGCACATGAGCAGCCAAGCTGCTTTCTTCTCTCTCTCAAGAAATTCTTCGCATTCATCCTCTGGGGATCTAAAATTTCATGGCCAATATATTGAGTAGTTGTTGAAATATTTCATTATGAATCCAAGTGGTGGACTAATCAACAGACCGACAATGCTATCCCCAGAGCAATGCCACTGATGTGACTACAACACAAAGCTTTCTTTTGTCAGATGTAGTACTGCTATTCATGGTAAAAGATGAAAAGTGAATCATGCCACTGTATGCACTGTATGCATGCATTATTTCAAGCTTTGGACAGACCATAGTGCCATGATAATACTGCTACTGTTCCTGATAATACTACTGCGACTACAACTCGACCCTTGTTGATACCACTACAAAATCAAGATGGCAATCTGTTCATGGCTTTACAACTTCTGAACTACCAGTAGGGGAGAGTGGGGTAAGTTGAGCCAAAGCGTAAGTTGAGCCACCCCTTGTTGCTAGGAAATGGTAAAAAACATTGATCATGTGACCAAATATTTTGGAGGAAGGCATCATTTCATGGAATCTGTGAATGTAAGAACCACATGGGTAAAGTGGTTAGATATTTATTTTCAGAAAATCATTTTTCACATGAGAATTGTGGTTAGACCAAAAAACATCATTTTTAATTTGTTTTATACATCAATTGTGGTATCTATGAGCTACAACATGAGGTCATAAACCTTGCATAAAAGTGCACCATTTTAGCTGTGGGGACTAATAAAGTGAAAATGGTAGCTCTGGGGTAAGTTGAGCCATTTGGCCAGGGGAAAGTTGAACCGGTGGCTACAGCCAAAATACACTCAATAAGTGTATCCAAAAACAGATTCTGTGTATATTCCAAAAACACAGCTGTTAATGTTCTCTTCCTAAGTGCACTTTAAGGCATTCTCATGTTAAAATGTTTTTTCACAAAATAGCTGTTTAGCTGGCTTACGGGGTAAGTTGAGCCACGAGACCACTTTTTTTGGACATGCTATATTATCGAAACAATTTTGTTTACACTCATTCTGTTTGTTTGAAGGGATGCACAACATCCTGAAATATATGCAGATATATTAGTTAGCGACAAAACTATGATTGCCTTGATGTAGTGATCCTAAATATGAAAAATGGCTCATCTTACCCCACTCTCCCCTATGTACTAGAGTGCCCTGATTTGAAAGTAATTTTTAAAAAACTTAAGAGAAAACACGAGTATTGTTTTTTGAGGTCTGATTTCACCCGTGGGTATTTGTCTCTATTATTTTGAAGGCATTTTCTCCCTTTCACACATCTTCATGAGCACTTGTTCTTGTGTTTGGACTGTGGGAAAGCATCTGCAATTGGACAGTCAAAACATGTTAAATCAGTCTTTATCTGCCTTTGAAAAGGACTTGGCGGTCTCACTCTGTCAGTGATCACAGGTACAAATCCATCCGGTTGTGTGAATGTTTATCTAAACTTTGTTTAGCTGCTTATCTGCACACTGCTTAAGTGTAATTTCCAAGGTATTGTCTAAGAATTTGGCAAGCTGTATGATATAAACAGTGCAATCAATCAGGAAGCTATAAACAGAATGTTTAAGTGAATAGCAGCATTATACAGACAGCATGATAACAATGAGCATCACAGGGATATTTGAATTTAACACTAAATTTCTAGGTATTTTATTGTACTGAAGAAGCCGTATTTCTCATCAGAGTCTCACCACAACACTTGTGCCTCATACTTTATTTATATACTTTACTTTTATTTATTGACGAGTAACCCCTTACAGTAGTTACTTTTCAAACAAGTAAAACAAAGCATGTAATACAACCAACATTTGTGTATGTTAATTACTACTGTAAGTTCCTTCCCACCTCACAATCCCACTATACCGTCAAAATATAATAATAATCATAATAAAACAATATCAATAACAGTAAATAATAATAATAATAATGATGATGCAATGCAAAGAGTCAGTAAATGAGTTGATAAGTTAAAAAAGGGAATATCTTAAAGTATATACACTGATCAGCCATAACATTATGAGCACTGACAAAGTGAATAACACTGATTATTTGGTTATTATTACTCCTGTCAGTGGGTGGGACATAGCAGGCAGCAAGTGAACATTTTGTCCTCAAAGTTGAATGTGTTAGAAGCAGATAAATTGGACGGTGTGAGGATTTGAGCGACTTTGACAAGGGCCAAATTGTGATGGCTAGACGACTGGGTCAGACGGCTCCAAAACTGCAGCTCTTGTGGGATGTTCCCGGTCTGCAGTGGTCAGTACTTATCAAAAGTGGTCCAAGGAAGGAAAAGCGGTGAACCGGAGACAGGATCAATGTTTTTGACTGATCTACTGGCTGTTTCTTTTTCTTTTTATATAATATTAGTTTTTGTATCTCATGTCAAACAGAATAACAAGATTCCTGATATTATAGTTTCTGACCTCCATTTTATGAATGTCATTAAATGTATTTATCCATTTACTAAGCTGTGGTTGTTCTGATCTCACCCATTTTTCTCATGATTCTAAATTCCAATCACATTTTGTCAGTCCTGTCCCTTACATCACCTCTGTTCAACTTTGAGGCCGTGATCGCCCACTGTACAGGATGTATCATATCATTGGCTCCAGCATGTACGTTTATCTCACTTCCCGATGTTTTCCTACATAGTTTGAGGATACAACATAGGAAACATCGGAGAGACTGACAGAACACCACACCCACCGCGAACAGAAGGGGACAGTTGTTTAACAGGTTGATTAAGACATCTACTTTGTGACCCTTTAATGGAGATTCAGCTGTTTTTCTTAAAATTTGGGAAACATATAAATAATGATGTTCATTCATATGTTACTCTTGTGTTTACATCGGCAATTATGTTTGAATGTTTGGTTCCTTATTACACCATATTCAGTGGCTGAATGACACGTTCTCCAGATGACCTTTGTCCCAACTTGGCCAAGACGATATTGGAACGCCCCAAACAGATGGCAGCATTGTTATTGTCTGTAATCCTATTAAAATTTTCCAGGATTTGTTCTTTATTTATGTATTGTCAATTGTTTTCTGTTCGTACAAAACAATAACTTGAGCACATCAAAGCTGTTGATGTGAAGTATTACTAATAATAACAGCGACTACAACACAAAAATTAATTATGATTATTTGACGTTTTGTCAATAACAAACAACAGCTCAATTACCACGGATTTCCAATAAATTATATTTTCAGTGACTGTAGACTATAAATGTGCGGTGACTTGATGTTGAAAAAAACAGACATCATTTATTAAACACCAGGATTTCTGTATGATTTCAGGAAACAAATTGTTTCTGTATGAACGCTGGATGTTAAAAAGACAACTCTAAACTGCATTGCTGGCTTTAATTTGTATGAAGAAGCAGCTGAAAGGAGTATGAATGGTGATTTTAGCTTAATCTAACCTCTCATACACCTGCTTCTACCTCAAAGACAATAACTGTTATCGCCTAAATGGGCATATTGTAAGAAATAGGAGACCCTGCTGAGCACAATGTGTGAAATTCATGTGTGTAGTGTCAAATTTGTGCTCTTAATGTGAGAGGTAAATCACCCACCCCTACTATGTATAGCACCTACTGTTATGACTGTAATAACTGTTGTAATATATGTAACATTATCACAATGTTGCAAAAACTATGCACTATGTCCATCCTGTCACCACATCTTTTGCAACAGTGTGTTAATGTTACATATATTACAACAGTTATTAGTTAGTTAGAGTCTGGATGAATTAGCTGACGTTATCCACTCGAGACAGTATTTTTCGGCGTTAGCGGCTTTAAAAAAATACAGCATCTTCTGTTTCAGATGTATAGCCTATACATCTGAAACAGAAGATGCTGTATTTTTTTTACCCTTTATCTATCCAGATAAAAACAGTTTCTGTATGATGTTTATTAGACCTATGTAATCTGAATTGGAAGGGCACGTTGTCATGAGCTGCATCTTGTATATTTATTATTAGCTATGTGGTATGTGTATGCACCTTTATGTAATCTGGTGGAAAAACATTAAAATTTAAAACTGGATCATACCAAACAAATATCTGCTTGCGTGTCCCCGTGTATGCAAAGTGTCCTTCTTTTTGATGTGAAGGAAATGGCCACCCTAGCGAGAAAGCATTCGGGAACGCACGTAAATGTCACTTCCTGTGGATTCCTGTTTTTCTCACCCGTAAAGGGACAGATTTGTGTGGTTCACATTGTGACTCTTTGAAGAACATCCCGAGCTTGCCAAGGCCACCAATACCACCAACGCCAAAACACATGATAACAGTAAAAAGTATGTATCATCAACCCTTTGAGAAGCACTAACAGTATCCAATATTTCAGTGTACCCACTCATGTTAAATGTTTTAAAAGTAAAAGAAAATGCTCACATAGAACTCACTTCTTTTTGTATTTTAAACATGTGTCTGCCTAAAGTTCAAGTTTAAATTAATGTGGCGTAAACATGAAACCATAAGTAACACTTTTTCTTCCGAACAGCTTCAGCAACAACTGAGAAGAATAACGATACTGTTTGAATAGTGAAATGCAGTATTTGGTGAGGAAGTGACTCAGAGTTGACATTAGTAGACAATGGGAGAGATGCAAATATAGACCCACTGCAGCACATTAACAATACACCTTAAACACATACTAGATTATTTCCATGACTGTCACTGATTAACACCAGTATGTGTCAGTGTTAGTTGCTAAAATGCTAACATATAACAAATAACATGAGGAAAGATTGTTTATCTTAACCTGATGAAGCTGATAGGTGTAACAGGTGAATATTACAGTTATCAGTGGCTGCAGGTGAGTTTTCTTCCTACTTGGTGTAATGTGGGCATAAAATACATAACATATCTTCAGAAAACTACATTTGAATATGTTTGTACTTTGTAGGATACGTTGTTGTGGATTAAAATGTTAAACACAGTTCAGCAGGGGTCACCAAAGTTACAGTCAATCCTTTGGGAGCCGTGAAAAGATCTTGTCCTTGAAGTATCTTGCTCTTGATTAAGGGACTAGATAAACAATACATCCTGGCATTGTATTTTGAAGGGCAGAGATTTATTCATACCGTATACGGAAAAAAAAAAATTGTGGACAGAGAGCTGCTTTGAATATATTTGTACAGAAAGTTAAATCCTTACACAAAGTTGTGTCAATGACTCTTCTGTCTTAAGGGTTTTTTTTATGTTTGGGCATTTGATCTGATCTGACCACTTTGTTAGGTGGCTGTATGTCATTTTTGAACTTGTTAAAACCTTGTGGTACTGTACAGTTATGTAAAACAATCACATTTCAGAGGATTGAAACAGGGACCTTTCCACAGGTATTTTTATGAAGAAGGGGGAAGTATCATATAAACCAGTTTTTACAGAGCTGGATACTGGAACCATATGTAAATGTTTGACAGACCAATAAAACATTTGGATGTGTAACACCAAATGCAGCAGTCTATAAAATGTTCTTTGGAAGACTGAACAAGTCAGTATGCATTTAAATTGTATATCAAGGTATTTTAAGTATCTAAATTCTTAACTTACAGAAGCAAAACAGCCTTAACAAGTGCAGGCCAACAGGATACAAGTGTGATTTCCTTCCTTTTTCATCCCTTGGTCCAAAGTCCGTGTTGTCAGGCGTCATCAGTGCAGCAGTAATTGCAGTTGTGTGTTTACACAATTAATTAACATCCTTACCTGAAGCATCTGCTGTCCTCTGCCACACTTACAGATCCCAGACATTCATTGTTAAACTAACAGTATATGTTTGATAGGTGTCAGACGTAAACTTTTAAATACATTAAATAAGTAAGTGGATTTAAGTGCTTGTACATCAACGCCCCATGTTTCAATGTTTGACATAAAAAGACCCCACTACAAAGTATTCATAGACTGTGATGATATTAAGTGTTTGAGCATGTGTGTAGAGGGGCAGGAATTAGTTCTTTACATGTTTATCTGACTAGAAATCAGCCACTTGACTTCCTAAACAGGAAAATCATAATTCATTGAGTTCCTGGAAAACAAAGGACAAAAAAAATCAAGGCCAAAATGCGGTAACTACATATTTGATCAAGATTGAGTTAAGACCACAATGTGACATCTGTTAAAATAAAATCATTACGTTATAGAAATTCTCTGTCTAGCTCTGTTTTTTCTGTCTTTAATTACTTAATATATGAATACCATCCATATTGTCAAAAAGCATGCCGGGTTATCCCCGTTTGTATAATCCATCACATTTTTTTATCAGTTCTGATTACGCAGTCGAATTACAAACACAAACTTATTCATTTCAAGGATAAAAACAGACAGAAGTGTATACTGTTATTGCCATTCCCCAGCCGGTTCGGACTGAAATTGTTTAATTTTTACACAAACATAAACTCACATATTTGTAAAGGTCCAGTGTGTAACATTCAGGAGGATCTTCTGGCAGAAATAAAATATAATATTCATAGGTATATTTTCATGACTGTATAATCACCTGAATATAAGAATAGTTATGTTTTTTGTTACTTTATAATGAAATGTTTATATGTACATATCCCGGAGTCTAACTAGCATTTTAACCAGAGAATAACCAGAGTTAGGTGAGAACATTGATACTACTCTCAATTAGGTCTCTGCAGGTTGCCTGGCAAACCACAGAGAGACAACAACACTCCAGGAATTCACAATATGTTCTTTTTCACACTTTTATTTTTGTATGTATTAAACAAACAAGATATACAATTATTTAGAAGTGGTGCTAGACAGGTTTAGCTGCCTTTGGACAGAGCCAGGCTAGGGGTTTTCCCCCATTTCAAGTATTTATGCTAATCTAACTGTCTGCTGGCTGTAGCTTGACTGACAGATAGATATGTGTATGATATTACATTTCCAAAAATGTCAAATTATGTACTTAAGATACAAATAAATACAAATATAAATATCTTTAGGCCTCAGGTTTTATCTTTTCTCTCGCGACTGCTTCATAATAAAAAAGAAATTAAACATAATACACTTAATAACGCCAAGGTTTGCCAGTTTCATTTTTCCTTATTCTCAAGGTAAGCGACCTTATAAATGCTACCGAGGACATCCCCACATTCCCCTTCTGCCAGAAGGAACATTTCATCACAGTTCAATCCAAGCATTAAAAATCTAACCAATGTCACATCACAGACACATTTCACAGTGAGCTTTGAAGTTTGCCTAGACACTTGGAGGTGTTCTATAATATAGAATAATTTTCTACAGGAACACACACAAAGGGACACACACAGTGGTCACTACACACAGCACAGCGATAGTTGTGTGACTCTAAACAATGATCTGTGCTTCACAAAAAGTAGAAAGTTGTTCCAACTTATTATAAAACACTGTTTGTTATGTATGCATAGCCAACAGAGGGCAGCAGGACTCTGCAGTATCACTTAACTCTTACTCCTCTTATCCCATCAGCTAACCGCCAGCCTCTGACTTTGTGACTGATGAGGTGGTGTTCGTGGCCACATTCGCTCTGACTTTGTTACATTATTTTTTGCAAGCCTATTACCAAAGCCATTAACTGAAAGGACTCTACCCTTTTAATTTGTGCTGCTTGCCTTGAAGAAAATGTGTCCGAGCTGTTGTCAGGGGTGCTGGAGAAACAAACTACTGTAGCTATTAGCCACTGTTTCTCACTCCCTCTGAATGTGTATGTGTGTTTAATTAGATGCATATTCCTTGGGAAATTACATGAGCCGAACCAGAGTGTCTGCCTTTCAGTTTTTCAAATCCAAGGGGCTGCTTTTACCATGACGGCTCCAACAGTGACACAGTCTTGTTATTCAGTGCACCCAGCTGTGGCAAATGGACTTTTATCTCTCTCCATATGACAGCAGATTTTCAAATTGACATTTCCGCACCAGCTGTTTTTATTTTTTTTGCCCAATTAACATTTATGTTTTCCCATATAAAACTTAAAAAGTCAGATCAATTAATTACTGCCTAATGTGTCTCGACACCTTAATTGTTATTGGTTTCAAGGCAGCTACGCCGTAACGTAATTTGACTTTAAAACCAATTAAATTATCATGATTGAGTCAATACTCAAGACACAAAAACTGTGCTGAGTGATTAAAATAATGAGTTCTGATGTCATTCAGCCACGTGGCCCAAGAAAAAAGGCCCTGAAAGGAGTTAGATGGGATTTGTCATTTGTGGGTCATGCACTTAATATACATACATTTTAATAATACTTTTACAAAAAGTACATTATCTATACTGGATACTCGTTTCAGCTGACTACTCGCTTAACCTGAATGGCGACATACTTGATATGTCTGATAAGAGTCAGTTGCACTACACAACAGAATTCCTGCAACAGACTAACCCCATCTTCTAATTAAAATCATGAGATTTGACAGAAAGCTAGACAGAGAGGCAACAATACAGCTACAAAATGGACCTTGAAGTAAGAGATTTACCTTTTTTTTTTTTTGGCCCAGACCTAAAGACACAAAAGTCCATGACTTACTGAGCGAAAGAGGAAGTTACACAACTGGCCTGGTCCAATGTTTGAGTTCCCCCTCTGGCCATTACTCTTTCCTGTAGGTGACCATGTTGTTGCTGCATCTGGTTATTTCTTGGACCTGTGAGGTAACAGAAGAAGGTGTCAGTCACAACAGTAAATATCCAGTCAATGGCATTGAAAGTTCTTCTATAACTATTTCTCTGTGTCTTTTTTTCTGCTCTGCCCCCACCTTGTTAAAAAGTACCTTGCTGTAACTTCATAAAACAGTATAAAGATTGGGATGTAAAATCATTGGGATGAAAAATCATTGGGAACTTTGCAGCCACATTCCACAATACAATACTGTTAGTTATCTTAGAAGAGGAAGCAATATTGATTTTCCAACCATCGGGAGCCAGAACTGTCCCTGAAGCTCAGAGGAGAACTTGCTTCTCAAGGCCCCTGGAAAGCTGCAGAGTTTCTACTCATCTGTAGGTACAAGGTAGACACGCCCCAAAAGCATAGCGTGCTTTATTATCTATTTTACTCTAAATTGGACCATAATTTA